AATAGTTCTGCTACTGACGCTATCACGTAAAACTATTGTCCGTTCAATTTTTTACGGTTGGTGACAACAGTATTTTGTAGCCTGTGACTATAGACAAACGCTGTGACGTAACCATGTGTTATTGACGTTTGTTTATAATGGTGGAAAGGTGAATTGCAAGTACACGTGGGTAGGTACGTATCTACTTCGGCCGTGGAACAGAAATGCATACAGTGTGCTTAGTGCGAATTTTTTAAAGTTCTCGATAGCGTAAAAATTAACTCAAAGGGGAATGCCCACTCTCCATAGTGTGCTGGGCCCAAGATGGACATCAAATATTACTATAAAAATAGACTGATTCAAATTCTAAACTGTATTGGACATCTAAAAAAGATATTGAAATTGACGCCACTATTATAAAAAATATAATAAAAATAAAAATTCGTTTTGAGGTTAATTTTCTATATAAATAAGTGTCGGATTGTGATATACTTCAAGAACCGTTATTTTCTTAATGTTTAAGATGTTCCTAATGTATTTTTATCCAATTGTAGTTATTAGGGTATAAAAAAACACACATACTTCTATAAATATCTATATTTTCTTCATCTTTATGTCATTTAAAACGATGTGAGCCGTAAGCTCATTTATTAATCTAGTTTAATAAAAACATGTCGATGTCATATTATTTCTAACATTTTTAGTTTTGTTTACAGTAAAGAGAATGAAGATTAAGACACATTTACCTCAAGCTTTTTTCTTTTTTTTCCTACCTAACCTGGTAGCCTTGAGAGGTTATTCCAGCGTAACCTTAACTAGTAAGGTGAGCTCACGGGGCTCAAACCTGCTGAGAAGATCCGGCGAGAAACTCAGTGGGCTGTGTCTGAGGGTTAATTTACTCGGGGCGACGGGTTCGACGAGAACGGTGACCGGTGCTTGAAGTACCGAAGTTAGTGGATCGGGAGGATCCGAAATGACGTGTTTTGGGCGACGTCGACTGCTTTCCATTCTTTCCGTAGGATCGGGAAAACGATGTGCAATCCACTCATTTATTACTCCAAATAAAATAAATTAATGTTATCTTGAGCTATGAACGAACCTACGTAATATGCCAGTTCCAGTCTATAGTAATAGTTTGGTATGATCGGATAACTGGGGACAATTGCAGCTGCTTCGCCAATGTGAACAGATTATTATGAATCGATGACTAGGATAATTGTTTGAATTTCATTATACAAAGTTATGAATTTTTTAAAATTAATCAGCAGCTCAATCAATTACTGTTAAGTTTTATTTATTTATTGCTTAGATGGGTTGACGACCGGCCCACCTGGTGTTAAGTGGTTATTTGAGCCCATAGACATCTACAACGTAAATCCGCCACCCACCTTGAGATATAAGTTCTAAGGTCTCAAGTATCGTTACTACGGCTGCCCCGCCCTTCAAACCGAAACGCATTACTGCTTCACGGCAGAAATAGGCAGAGCGGTGGTACCGTGCGTACTTTTTTTATTTTTTTATTTTTTTTTATTTTTTTTTATGATTGAACGTTTACTGGTGGCCCGAAGGCCTTTCCAGTTTCACCAGGACAGGTGGGCGAGCAAAGGCTCAGCCAAGAGGGGTGGGATTTGCTAACAACTGCCCGAGCGCCTCCGAAGGAGACCTAACAACTCAAGAGCAATTGTTTCGCGAATGAATCTACTACCGGATCGGAATCGCGACCCGCTGAGAAGATCCGGCGAGAAACTCAGCGGGCTGATGCATGGGTTAGGTTGCACGTCGACCTCTTTGTCGAGTTCGACGAGTACGGTTACCGGGGTCCCTAAGCCTGCCCCTAGTATTAGAGCTGAAGGCATCTAATGCAAAGGTTATTGGATCTGATGGATCCGTAAGGACGTGTCTAGGGCGTCGACGGTGACTGGCTCCTGCATGATCAGGATTCGGGGAGTAGTCAGCGGCGGCAACGATAAGGCGATTATCATGACGCATAGCCTTATCGAAGTATCGTTCCGACGCTGACGACCGTGCGTACTCACAAGAGGTCCTACCACCAGTAAAAAGTAAAAAAGTAAATTTGTAGATAATAAATGGTGTTAGTCTCAAACGACGTCAGTCCTTCGTGACCATGAAAACTCTAAAGTATACCAAACGACAGAAATAGTGTAATGAAAATAACAAACCAATAAGCCAGAAGGAAAATTGTAAAATATGAGCGTAATTCGTGAAAAATCAAAGATAATACTTAACTATAGTGCATTAAATTAGTATTTTGTGTCATTATAATATGTTTTACAGTGTATTTTTGGTTCGTTAGAATGATACTCTTTAGATTAGCATTTTCAAACATTTAATTACTTTATTAAAATAGCATTTATCTTTTACCTAACTATTTCATTAGCTTAACATTTTAATAGTTACAATAAGAGCCTTCCTTGATTTTTATATTAAATGAATCGCATTTCGGAATGAAAGCAAACTCCATTTCGTTGTAAATTTGTATCTGCCGGAAACTCCGTGTAATTGTTCGCGTCCTTAGCGCCTGAAGCTATTTGAATAGCAAAGCTCAAAGGCAGCCTTACTTTTTGCTTTACACTTCAAAGCGTTAGTCCGTAGTGTTCTGTTACAATTTAATTAATATCGTTGTATTTGATTATTCTAATAGAGCACGATTGTGTTGGAAAATTAATTGTATTTAAACTAGTTTCGAATTCATCTTGTTCGTCGTTTCCTCATTACTCAGGATCGCGACTACAAGTATTCAAGTCTTTCCATGAAGTTCGGTCTACGGGGAGGTGGACCCCCTCTTGGATACTGCTTCCATAGATAATGGTACTGGTGGTAGGTCCTCTTGTGAGTCCGCTCCACCCTGCCTACTTCCGCCGTGAAGCAGTAATGCGTTTCGGTTTGATGGGTGGGGCAGCCGTTGTAACTATACCGAGACCTTAGAACTTGTATCTCAAGGTGGGTGGCGCATTTACGTTGTAGATGTCTATGGGCTCCAGTAACCACTTAACACCAGGTGGGCTGTGAGCTCGTCCACCCATCTAAGCAATAAATAAATAAAAGTAATTACTATAATTAGGAATTCATTTTTTTCCTACATAAGCTGATAGCCTTGAGAGGCTATTTCGGCGTAACCTTAGCTACTAGGTGAGCTCACGGGGCTCAAACCGGAGTGATGCCAACACTGACCCTAGCAAGGGCAGTGCTTCGCAGAATCTACCACCGGATTGGAAACGCGACCCACTGAGAAGATCCGGCGAGAAACTCAGTGGGCTAGGAATTCATGAATGAGCAGGTGCGGTATTACGTTCGTTACCTCTGCAATTCTTCGCTTTTATCTAACTCTGATTTATGGGTTCAGGAAGATGTCTGCGGTAAAGCGGCTGTGAAAACTTTGTTGTACAATGATTGATAATATCATTTTCTTACGGATTCCTTCTTTTGTTGACATCGCTTAATTTATTTTATACAATAAACAAATCTAATTATGAATTAAATACGCGTTATCCGCGTTTTAGTCTCGATTTTTTTAAGAAATTCATTAAGTAGGTAAATTAAGTTTAAGATATCATCTCGTTTTGCAGTGAAGCATTCATGTGTTTTGGTTTATAGGGTATTACATTATAGGATATTATGTACTCCGATACTATTAATTTATGTCAACCTCATGTCTCAAGTTGGATAACAGCATTCATATTTTGGGTTCCAATACTCCTTAAAAGAAGATTCTACTCATTTAAATGGTAGGCAGCGACCTGGCTCTGCCCTTGGCATTGTTGACGTGTAATGGCGACGGTAACCACTCACCATCAGGTGGGCCGTATGCTCGTCTTCCATAAAGGGCAATAAAAAAAATTAAAAAAAAATATCACCTACTTAAACATGGCAGGTAATAAAAAAAAATCAACTGTGTTCATGAGTAACTAAACTTTTTGGCGTAGGTACTCGTCGAACCCGTCGCTAACGACGAAAAGATCAGCGAGTAAACTAACCCATAGACACAGCCCACTGAGTTTTTCGCCGGATCTTCTCAGTGGGTTGCATTTCCGACCCGGTGGCAGATTCTGAGAAGCACTGCTCTTGCTAGGGCCAGTGTTAGCAACACTTCCTGGTTTGAGCCCCGAGAGCTCACCTACACGTTAGAGTTACGCTGATATAGCCTCTCATAGCTATTAGCTTAGGTAGGAAAAAAGAGGGCGGAAGCGATGAGCGAAGATCTGTGATTACGTACTTTTTTTGGTTAGTTTGGTATTTCTTCAGGCTTAAACGTCTATTAGGAAAGGTAGATGGCAAACTTCCCAGAGGACGCAGTCCCACGAGATGGTCGGACCAAATACGATCTTCTCTGGATATCAACTTCCACAATGCCCTTCATGAAGCTAAGGATCGCAGCAGATGGAGGAAAATCGTATGGGAGAAACTGATGCAGCGGGGGAGTCACGACCCTCAGTAATGAGGAAAACGCCGCGAGGAGGAGGAAACGTCTATTAGAGCTGGTATATTAACAATTTAGCGTCTCTGAAAGTGCTGTGGAAAATGGGTGAGAAAATATAACAGAGGTTTTCTCCAAGTAGTCCACTGAGCTGTCACTAATTTCTCACCGTTTTACTGGGACGTCATTCCTTAATGAGATGATGTAATTTAGTTTCAATCAATTTCATTCAATTTCATCTCAGTGGATTACATTTTCAAATAAATCCGCTTTATTTCATTTAGCTCCATTTATCATATCGCTTTAAATAGTATTCATAGGATAATTGAAAATTTTTATGGACTCGATGCCGGCGGCGCTGACAACAAAGGAATTTAATTGCCATACTGAAAAAAGAAACAGACACATCTCCTTTGACATTTTATGGCCTGGTAACATTATACATTTGACAAACTTGACAACTGACATCAGTCAACATTTTGATTGATAATTAATTTTAAATTGTCAAATTTTGGTCAGGGTTAAAGATGACGAGCATCACAGTTTTCGATAAAAAAATATAAATTTCGTGTTTTTTATCAGCACAATGACTGTTTGGAGAAAATTAGAAAATGAAGAATGCTATGCCGTCGGTGAGTATTTACTGTAGCTCTGAGAGTAATGACAGTTTCGAAAACATTAAAACTTAGTTTAAGGAAAGTTGGCCATGTCCTGCCTCCCGCGAAGTCGAGATAAATATAAACATTGTGTCACATATAATATAATTAAATCTTGAATCCAGGTCGAACTTCATTATCATTTTTTTCTAATTTAATTCCCATTAAATTTAAAAAATAACTATAAATAATCTGCCACTCCCATAAATCTTGATCATGAAGATAGTCAATGAAATTGATAAATATTTTTGATCACATTCGTATGGAATTGCATTTAGAAAAATTATAGCGTTGATAACACTTTCTGTTAACTTTTTAGACAGGATTTTAAAATTGTTGATAACAGAGAGGAAATTGATATGATATGTGATGTGTTTAAATTCGAACCGAAAGCTACCGTTTTTCGTTCGTGTTTCAAATTAAATATCTTTGGACTAATTATTATCTAGAAACTTTGAATTAAACGCATGTTTATGAAAATTTTGGTACAAAATTTGAAAATGAAATTTTTTGCATTGCAACAGCAGTTTAAAATAGTTTGCAGTATTGAAATCTAAAATTAATTTAGCTATTAATATTTGTATATTTCAATTATTTCGATTTTGTTATAAACAAAACATGTACTTTGTATTAAACAAGTTCGCAACAGGAAAATTAAGAAACAGCTTTTCCGTTGTCCCAGTGCTGTCTATGAGCAACGAAAATACTAAAATAAATAAATAAAAATATAATTCACTTTAGGATGCCAATAAAATGGTATAACTCCAATATGTATATAACTTTGCACTATAACTTTTGTAAATATTTCAATGTATCATTTTCTTATATCTTATGAGTACTTACTATGAAGCAATATAAATAAACAATATTTTTCCTACAGTAACACTGTTTCCTTAATTAAATACTTCATGCTAACACTCGAGTTTAAATATCAAGCAATCATCTTGTATTGGTTTGCACTTCTATAGTTAAGTTTTTGTTTCATTGAATATTTTTTAGGAAACAAACAACATTGATATCAAGCTTCAATTAAGATAACCATTTTGAAATATATTGCTCTTTGGTATACCACTGTCTCTTTTTTTGTATGTTTAATAGTTGTATATTGAATAGCGATAGTATTGGGCAAAATTTCTTCTCATAGCAAACGTTTGTCATTATTTTTCTAACAGATTTTGTTATGCTTACTTGTTTTGCTGTATGTTGAACCACTAATGAACAGTAATAAAAGCAATACAAGAAAAAGTAGCACATATTCTAGGGTGGGGTTGATCTGATCCGACTCTTGTGGGTTACTTTCCTGAGGTTCAACAGCCAATGGAGCTGATGATATTATCTTGTGGGATAGTGCTTTAGAAGTATGAAAGAAACAGGTGTAGTTATGAAGAATCATGGAAAGAAAGTATGATATTAGAGCCTTATTCGGTGTATTTTTACTAGCTTTGTTTCTTATTTGTGAGCTGTCTAGTCCAAAACATAGTGAAACATAGTATGTTGAAAATAGAAAAGAGAGTTTCCCTTAACCTTGCCTATGCGCCATATCTTCTTGAGATTCCTCGAATTTCTGACAGTATAATCGATTAGCACTCCATCTAGGAAAGTCATTTATATAATGTTAATGTAGTTAAATGATTCGTGAAATGGGCGAAGGTTTTGCTGAAACTCATTATCATACGTCTGCTAACTTAATTTTATAATCCAAATAAGACTTAAGTTTGTTTGTATACATCACAGTAGTTTTGGGATGTGATACAAATGTGTATTATGTACTATCATAACGTAATGTGACAACGTATAAAGTCTACTATATGTCTTCAGAGTCTCTTAATCTTGCTATCATTTTTTTTTTTGACTCAAGTATCAATTTAATTTATAGTTTTTTTTGTTCATGTTCATGATCTCACAGCTCACTTAGTGGTATGCGGACATTGGAGCTCATAGACCTTTCTATGTGAATCTACCATGATCATGGATGCGAATATGCTGAGGTTTTTTAATCCTGTGGCGGATATAAGATTTTCTAAATACATTCGTTCAGACAACCACGTGTAATATTAATGGAACGTTTTCATTTACCTGCTGGCGAAAAGTCTTATGGAAGTCCAGACGAGTATTTATCATCATCCTACCTGTCTCTACTGTGAAGCATGCGATTGTCTCAGTTGAAGGCTTGATTTCATTAGCGCATCCGTTAGCTCATCCATGGTAATAAGGCTCTAGACACTTTCAATCATGAGCGGCAAAGTTTTGTTTGCGCCGTTTCGGAATACAGACTGCCCTTTCTGCCCTTCTGTCCTTGAACCATTCCCCTTCCACCTGTGGAAGTCCAATTACGAAATGTCAAACAAAACGTCCCGTCAATCGCGATAACCTCACATCCGTGCGTTTATTATTCGAATACCTTGGTTTTTTGGGAGATATAATATTTATGTAACCATCTCGATGGTTGGGTCGCTTTTATTTGTAACTTCGTGAAATCTGCACACAATATTGAATGAATACCAGAGGACATAGATATCATAAATGCGTTTCTCCCCTCATGACGTTCAAGTTACCATAGTAGACAATTGCTGTCTATAGATATATAGGTATATAGGTATATTTTTACTGGTGGTAGGACCTCTTGTGAGTCCGCGCGGATGGGTACCACCACCCAGCCTATTTCTGCCGTGAAGCAGTAATGCGTTTCGGTTCGAAGGGTTGGGCAGCCGTTGTAACTTATTTGAGACTTTAGAACTTTTATCTCAAGGTGGGTGGCGCATTTACGTCGTGGATGTCTATGGGCTCCCAGTAACCACTTAACACCAGGTGGGCTGTGAGCTCGTCCACCCATCTAAGCAATAAAAAAAAAAAAGGCGTGATGGAAATCCCGCAAACACACGGAAAAATTATGACACTTTGTCTTCTTCTTTGGTTCTCTTGCGACTGAAGAAGTATTCGGAATGGCTCTGTTATATGCAACCGGGTAAATGAATTAATTATGATTTAAATGATTATGAAATTATCAATACCCAAACTTATCTGTAAGTGACATCTATTATATTACGATTCATCATCATCATCATCATCAGCCTTTATCTGCCCACTGCTGGACATAGGCCTTCCCCAATGCCTTCCACATAATGCGGTCCTCCGCCTTCCGCATCCAACGACTTCCCGCCGTGCGCACTAAGTCGTCAGTCCACCTGGTTGGAGGACGCCCCACGCTCCTTATACCCATCCGTGGCCTCCATTCGAGGACTTTCCTCCCCCACCTGGCGTCGCTGGCTCGACAGATGTGACCGGCCCATTGCCACTTCAGCCTGCTAACTTTGAGAGCTATGTCGTCGACTTTGGTTCTCCGTCGAATTTCTTCGTTCCGGATTTTGTCCCTTAGAGAAATACCTAGCATAGCTCTCTCCATCGCCCGCTGTGCGACTCTTAACTTATGGGCCAGCCCTGCCGTCAGTGTCCAGGTTTCCGCGCCGTAGGTCATAGCGGGGAGAATGCACTGGTTAAAGACTTTTGTCTTCAGGCATTGAGGAATTTGCGAGGTGAGGATTGCACGGAATTTCCCAAATGCCGACCAACCCAGTCGTATGCGTCTCTCAATCTCTGTATTGAAGTTACCACGGCCAAGCTGGATAGCCTGACCGAGGTAGACAAAGTCTTTTACCTCTTCAATGACTGCATTCGAGATGGTAACTTGGCCCGGGACGATTTTATCATTGAACATGACTTTCGTCTTGTCAAGGTTCATCCGCAGTCCCACGCATCGGGAAGCAGCATTGAGATCGTTGAGCATACGACTGAGGTCCTCCAGCGATTCCGACATTACGATTAATGATGATGAATTGTATCCAATTGGAACCGCGGGGAACTGTGATTTTATTATAGAATACCATCGCTCGTAACTGGTCTTAGTGAATTATTAGGCGATAAAAAATAGTAATTCATTTAATTTTACTTTTCGGGTTGATTGCCGTCTTCGCTCGAGATTATGGATCCCGCATGTCAGTTGTTTTTTAATTACATTGCACATAAACCATTACGTATTAAATTTATTCATTGAAATATTTTGTTCCCTCCGAAACTTCGTTATCGACAAAAATTTTACAATACAATCCCAAAATTCCTAATGATAAAAAAATGGTGCGCATGCAACTTGGAGCACGTGAAAGAAGTGAAACTTCTTTTGCGGTGTGTAGTATTGTGGTTTTCTTCATTTATCATATTTAAATCTAATGTCTTGTAATAGGGAATGCTGTATGTAAGAGAAATATCCTAGCTCGCTTAGTCGTTTACTTTACGCGGTCGAGTAGTTCGCGAGACGCTGTCTATTTTCTCACTTTCGCTCTTCCTAAATTCTATATTTTCTCTCTAGCCGTAACGATTCTGTCGTGAGTTAAATTTTCCTCCCAAAGCGCCCAAAGAAGTTTTACTTCAAAAAGGAAGTACAAATCAATATGATATTCATTAAAAATCGGAACCAGTAATAGACTCCAATATCTAATTACGGGGAGTGTCGTGTGACAGGTGCGCTACTGGGTCGAATGTCGATAGTATAACAAATCTAATAGAAGCGGCCTGCGATAAGTTTGAAAAAAAAATCATCGACTTTTTTTATATAAAAAATTAATAATTAACGTTAAAACAAGTTTTCAAAAAGTTTATTAAAATGATTTATTTTGTCATTACGAAGGTACTATTGGTTATATTATCGTTAAAAACTCGCATTAAGCATACTGACCTAACCTTACAGACCTTTTTTTCCTACCTATTCTGATAGCCTTGAGAGGCTATTTCAGCTTCTCCTTGACGTGTAGGTGAACTCACGAGGCTCTAACCGGGAGTGTTGCTAACACTGGCCCTAGCAAGAGCAGTGCTTCGCAGAATCTACCACCGGATCGGAAACGCGAGCCACTGAGAAGTTCCGGCGAAACTCAGTGGGCTGTGTCTATGGGTTATTTCACTCGTCGAGTCCTTCGTCGCAAACG